GGATAATTGATTTTTGTTATAATGACCTTTTGATTTTTTAACTAAAAGTGTGATTTCCCAAAATAAGCCTTAGTAGAGTTGGTTTGACAAACATGTTTTTCTCCTTCCGTTTTTAGTCATTATATATATATATATATATGTTTTATAAAAAAAACTGTAATTTTAGCTGTTAGTACATTTGAAAACCCTAATTTTAAAACTAGAAATAAAATTTAGTTTTCTTATGTCTTTTGTAAATATTTTATTTTATTTTTGAGATTTAATTAGATTGGAATGAGTGAACAGAAAAAACTTGACACAATTTTTTTATAAAAAACAAAAAATACTAAAAATAAATGATTTTTTTTTTTTTTTTTTTTTTCTAGCAAAAGATGATAATTATAAAGTGCCCCAAAATGAAGGGATAAATTAAGGGTCTTTTTTTTTTTTTTTTTTCCACTCACCAAATTGGTTGGCAAATCAAAGGATCACATGAGAGAAAGTCAAAGAGCTTATATAAAAAGTCAAAATTGGAATACAAATTGTAGCAAGAAGTCGCATTTGCTAGTGTTACTACTTCAGACAACGAGAGGGACATCACACTTGCATTTTTGACATTTCATCAACTTTATCTAATCAGTAATAAATGTATGGTATATATTTAAATTTCATAAAGAGTAACTATACTGAGAATAATTGTGATGCATGAATTATTGAGTAATTCTTTCAAAGAAGGAAAATTTGGCTATAAACTCCCTTTACCTTCCTTTCATTGTTAGAATGACTAAGAAAAAAATTATACTTTCTAAACCCCCTCATAATTATAAAATCTTACATAAAGGACAAAATTTATTATTTAAATATTTTATCAGACTATTATACCCTCACATATACAAAATCCAGATACAAAATTTATCTTCTCTCTCGTCTTTCACTTCTAACTCTAGTTTCCTCCATGGCCGGAGCTGTGTCATTCCTAAGCTCCGACGATCTCTCTCTGCATCTTCTCAACTCTCCTCCTTCAACTCTCCTTCAACTGTTCATCTTCTATCTCGTCTCTCTCTTCTAATCCTAGCTTCCTCTATGGCCGGAGCTGTGGAGAACTTGCAAATCTTGCTGATACATATATATATATATATATATATATATGTGTGTGTTTGTGTGTTTTGAGATTTGAATTCGAATATATAGATTTTTGAAAGCTCAAAGTTTTAAAAATCTGAAAAATCTGAAAAATCTGAAAAATCTGAAGAATATATATATATATATATATATCTATATATATGTGTGTGTTTGTGTATTTTGAGATTTGAATTCGAATATATAAATTTTTGAAAGTTCAAAGTTTTAAAAATCTGTAAAATCTGAAAAACCTGAAGAACCGGGGTATGAAAATTTGAGATTTCTCTAAAATTTTCAGATTATAGGCCTGATTCAAGGATTATAGGCATGATTCAATATTTTTCAAAGTAAACATCGATTGATTCAAGGATTATAGGCCTGATTCAAATCTCAAAGCTTAAAGTTCCATCGATTTTTCAGAGTAAACATCAAATTTCATTCGATAGAACCAGAGTAAAATTTAACTCTGGTTCTATTGCTCTGTTTTTTTCATTTGACAAAACCAGAGTAAAATTTTACTTTTAACTTCAGAGTCTTACAGTTTACTTATTTTTCAGAATAAAATTTTACTTTTATACAGAGTAAAATTTTACTTTTAGTTTCAGAGTGTAAAATTTTACTCTCATTCATAGTAAAATTTTACTTTCATACAGAGTAAAATTTTACTCTGAAATACATAGTGAAAATGTCTTAATAGGAGAGCTGATAAATATGAGGATAATATAGTAAAAGAAATAAGTTTTAAAATATCAGGGGATTTTGAAAGTACTTATATAATTTTTGTCCTTTTAAAAAAAAATTAGATAGTGAGGGGGATATGACCAAATCTCCCTTCAAAGAATATTATATTGTTGTTATCTAATTAATCAATACAATAACTATTCAAATTGATGAGAATTCTCCCAAACCCCCTTGATTTTTACAATGTGGGTCCACGTCAATTGGACAACATTTTCTCAAGTGGGCCATAATATTTTGCATTTTAGCCCAAGTGACTTGGTAGCCCCACAGACAATGGTTGCTTGAATATGAAATTGTAGACCCATAGGGGAGTGGTCCATTTACATGCATATCTCATGGGCTGTGGCCTATGCGTGAGGGGAGAGAGGAGAGTCATTGATGATACTTCATCACGGCATGAAATTCTCCGTCCTTAAATATTTATGTTCCTTTTATCTCATAATACTCACAATTATTATCTATCGTATTTTAAATTATTTAGTAATTTAGTAATTGAGAATGTCTTGAGGCAGAAGAACAAATAAGATTTGGAGATAAAAAATTTTTCACCGTTAGCCATAATAAACGATTAAACAAAACAGAAGGGTGATGGGTCACCCATAATTAGTACTCATTTATGATATTTAAAAAATCTTATTAATATCGATGCCCTATATATATATATATATATGAAATTTTGACGACAGACTAACTGAATCAATGGTTGAGTTATTTCTGCAAACAATTATTTCACTCAACACTTGTAAACATAATGTTACAAAATCACATTATAGTAGGAAATCTTCAACTTGCATTTGGGTTGTCTTTACCCAAATTCTTTATTCTCTTAATACATTATAAACCATACAATTATATTCATACATATGTGCATCGGGTGGCACAAAGGTCATTAGAATTAAAAAGAAAGGTAAAATATATATATATATATAAGGATGGACTTTAGCTTTGGGTAGCCCTCCCAAGACAATGTTGGAAGGTTAGAACTTGATCCAATGATGGACTTTAGCTTTTCAATTTCCTGTCCCCACTCCTTCAAATTATCTTGTGTCCATAAACAACAAAATATCAAATCTCACCTTTCTTTCTTGCTTCAAAAAATACATAATTACCTAAATGTAAAAATCTCAACACATAATTTAACAATTATAAATAATTTAAAATACGAATCAAAATTAGTCCAAATCTACTATAAAGTACATAATTAACTTGGCATCAAATTTGTCACATAATTTTAAACAATTATAAAATGTAAAATCAAACTGTTTCGACTGCTCAGATTTTTCCACTGTTTCTTTGATAATTTTCTTTGCATACACGTAATGTGCGGAATCTTCTAATATATATATATATATATATATATATATATCCACACATATGGATTGAATACAAACCTTCAAATATACATTCTACATTACACCATAATAATCATAGTCACTAGAAATAACATCATTACATATCTCCACACCCACACAAACTTTAAAAAAAACACTCATAATAATCTTTCTTCTTTCTTCTTTCTTTTACTTTCTTTCTTTCTTTCTTTAGAACACAAAAAAACAAACACCACACAAGATCTAACAAAAAGAACCATTGCCCCTAATTTGCTCTGCTGCAGGACCGCTAGGATCATTGAAATTTTCCCTTTAAAATGTTCGCATTTATAGATACAAACATTCCAACAAAAATTTGGGTATTCATATGATTTTTTTTTTTTTTTTCGATGTGCTGTGGCCTTTCATGGTCTCACAATAGCATGATCAGAAAATGCTAAATTGCACCTCTCTCTGTCTCTTCACCACCATATCTATATAGTTTATATTTCTAATAATCATCACCATCATCACTATTTAGGATTTGGGAAGAAAAACTAAACCAAATCAACTCTCTCTCTCTCTCTCTCTAAAAAGTTGAGTTACTGAAAAGTCGAACCTGGTGTGTAAATAGCAAGATCAGGCCACCCATTGCCACCACCCCAATCACCACCACCACCACCACCACCACTCTGAACACCCAAAAAGCTCTCTGAATTATTACTACTCTGTAACTCAACTTGTGAGTTTCTCATCAAATTCGCCTCCAAATTCGAATTCAAATTCAAATTATTCTCGCCAAACTCCCCCAATCGAACCGTCGATCCATTTGGATTCAAACCCTCCATCAAATTCCCAAACTGCCCACTCGAAGCCAGAAGCGAGCTAAAACTCCCATTGATATCCATCATCCGATGCTGCTCCTGATCGAACGCCGCCGCAGCGAAACCGTACATGGCAGAGGAGGGTTCTGGTTTTCCGGCGACTTGGGTGGTTGTTGCTGTGGTGGTGGAGGACGAAGAAGACGACGATGAAGAGCGTTTAGGGTTCGAATTTCGCTTCGTGTTCTTGCGACTCCCACCGCCGATTGGGATGTTGCGAAGAGCTCCGCCTTTGGTCCAGTATCTCCGGCAGTTCTTGCAGAAGTGGCGAGGCTGAGAGAGATTGTAGTTGTTGTAGTAGCAAAATTTGGTGTTTGTTGAATCACATCTTGGGCATTTCAAGTGCTCGTGTTCGGGGAATTGGGGTTGGATCTGTTGATACGTTGATGGGTCTTGCATTTTTCACACTGAATTTGGGAAAATTTTTGTAAAGAAATCACCAAATTCGAGTTCGGATTTTTAGGTTTTTGCTGATTTTGTGAACTGGGTTTTTCTCAGTGAATTGTCTATGAGGAGATCTGAAATGGGTTTTTCATGGGTTTCATGAGGTGTGAAGCTGTGAAGCGGCGAAAAGTAAAACAAAAACAGAGGAAACAAAAGGGTCAAGAATGATTTTGACCAAACAAATTTGGTTTTAATTACGAAAAGTTGGAGATTTTTCTCGGAAAAAATCAGAACAGAAAGTGAAGGAAAGTGCAGAGAGAATTCAAAGCTTTGAACTTTCAACTTCCATTAATGAATCCCATTAAAGAACACTTTGTTTGGGGGTGATTTGTGGAAGAAGAATTAAAGAAGAAAGGAGAGAAGTTTCAGAGAAGAAATTTGGACTCCCAGACTTCATATAGAGAGAGAAATCTCCTCTGTCTCTCTGTCTTGCTCTTGCTCTTCTATCTCAATACCTGTAGAGAGAGAGAGAGAGAGAGAGTATTTTACTGTCACAGTCTCTGTTGAAATTTGGAATTGAATGGCTAAGCTGGTGGAGTCTATAGAGCCCCACAAGTTAAATATAATCAAGAGTAAATCACTTTTTGATTAAAATTATGGGCATTAAAGGAATTTAAAACAATAGTTTATATTCTTTGTTCTTGGCTTTACTAGGAAGCATCCATAGCCAAAAAGACTTCTTTTTGGGTCAATACCATTTATTAATATTTTTTTAAATTAAAGTGGGGAACAAATGTCAACTGCTGTGATCATGCTGAAAAAGTGACATCATTAACCTTAAACACATGAGTCAAAAAACAAAAATATGTAGAAGCACCATCAACAAATCACTCTCCTCCTTGGTTTTAAATTTTAAAAATTTTTAATTTGTACTTAACATTAAATGTTAATATTTTTTTATTTTTAAAATTTATTTAATTTAGATATATTTTCAAAATATAAATTACAAACACACCCTTTAAGGTTTACTTAAAATGAGAATAGCTTCTTGTAGTTTGAAAAATTACAAATATCTCTTAGTCAGAATTTTTTATTTAACAGAATTAATTAAAAAAATAAAAATTCTAACTATTCTCCTATACAATAATAAATTTGTTTGAATTATTAATTGAAATAAAATTTTAACATCATTAAAAATTATTAATAAACTTAATGATTTATTAATAAAATGACTTATTTGTTATGAAATTAGAAACCTTAGAGGGCATATTGTAATTTTTAAAACTACAGGGACTAATTCATAATTTAAATAAATCTCAGGGGGTGTGTTTGTAATTTACCCTTTAAAAAATAAAATATTTTTGAAAAAAATCTTTAAAAACTCAATAAATACCACAAAAAAAATCAATTTATATATTTTTTTTACTAGTATCTACTAATTTTTTTTAAAAATCACAAATTTTATACTTTGTAAAAGTATTTAGATTAAATGAATCTATAAAAAAAATGATTACAAAATTAAAAACATTTACTAAAAACAAAATAGATACCGATTAAAATTTGAAAAATTTATTTTTAAAAATTCTAAATCAAATAGGGTAAACTGTTTTAATTAGGCCCAAATCTAAAAGAATGAGAAGTGTTAGTTGTGTAAGATTTGAACTTTTGATTTATGAGAAATTCTATTTACATACCACTAATTTTTTTAGTGCACACTATTAGTTAATACATACATATCATAATTTTTAAGATTTGAAAATATTTTAATTCGCCCCTTTTCATTACTAATCCTATGGCAACATACTATATGTTTTGTTTGAGTACACACCACAACCTACACCCAAATATCTTCATTTTCATAACACCAGAGATTTCTATTGTAGGCGTTGGAGATCTCCATCACCGACGAAAGGTTTCATTCTGCCAGTGCATTGTTATTGTTTCAGATCTTTATCGTTGCTGTGTCAGTGACTTGATGGTGCATTGTTGTCATTTCCGATCTCTATTGTTATCGTCGTCTAGCCATTGTTTCGCAGGTGTATTGTCGATGTCGAAAATCTTCGAAGAATTGCAAGTCTCACCCTTGATTCTCACTTTGACATATTTTTCTTATCTGCTTTTGATTTGGTTATCGTTTTAACTTTCATAGCAATTTTTATTTTGAGTTTAGCTCAACTCTGATTGTCTAAATATAATATTATCGTACAAAAAAATAAAATTGAACAAATTGAATATATTCAAAATATTTATGTGGAATAAAATAAATAAGTTCATACTTTATAAGCTGAATAATTTCAACTCGTCCAGACTTAAATTTTATATGTTATTTCTTTTTTTGTAAAATGTTGAATTCATTTGCTCTTTGTAAAATGGAAAATAAAATATACCAAAAATAAATTAAATTATTGAATTGAATTAAATTAAATTTGAGAAATGAAATTCTTAAGGAATTAAATTAAAAATATAAATAACTTAAATTCTAAATTAAAAAAAAAAGAAATGATAAAAAGGGGAAAAAAGCTTAATTAAATAAAATTAATTTCCTTTTTTTTCATAAATTTAAAATTCAAACATAACATAAAATATTATTTTTTTAAAAAATTAAATGAATAGTTTCTTTATTTGTTTGGAAATAATAAACTGAACATTAAATATATGTTCAATTTTTTACGTATGAACATTTAATTTTTGGTTAACCTTAATAATTTGAACAAAATAATTTTGTTTGAATATAATTAATTGAACATTGTGTAAAAGTTCAATTCTGATTATCTGAACATGTGATGAACAAAGTTATCTTGTCAACTACTATACGAATGAGATAAACAAAAAATCAAAAAACTAAATAGTAAACTTACATTTTCATTGTTGTATTGTTCGAAACCAACAATCTCAGTATTATCCATGGTTCGCAAATCTTCAAAACCAATTGATTTCAATATTCTTGAACCCTAAATTTTAAAGGCAATGATATTTTAAGTTTGAAAAATAAGTATAATGGAGAAAAGAATGAAGTGGGCTAATTGATAATAAATAATATTAAGAGTGTAGTATATTAGATAATAATAGTGAAGATGATGAATATTGGAAGATCATAAAAAAGAATGATTATATTTACACACCACTAATACTCTCAATATATATCATATATTAAGTTCACACCATACACAAATTGAATATGTTAATTTTGTCTTAATACACACCAATACTTTTAATATAATACCATATTACCCTTATCCCCTTCATCTCCCTCAACAAACCCTAACCTTAACCCAAACCCTAACCCTAACCCTAACTCTTGCCCATCGTCTACCGCTGACCCCCCCTCCCCCCGGTACCCTTACTTAGCTCCCTCTGGTCACTGTCACTACCTTAGTACCATCACAGCACCCTCATTGCTGTTGCCTCACCACCATTGTAGTTGCCCACCGCCGTGACACACAACTGTTGCAACCCTACCCTGTTGTTGCCTCCTAGCACCACAATTCTCTCTCATCTCTCTTTCTCTCTCTCTAGGCTGCACATGATCAGTCGCCGACCGAAGATAAGTTGCGATGGTGGTGGGTCGTTAGGGTTTGAAAGTGCAATGATGGTGGGTTATTGGGGGTGGTGGAGGCAAGGATAGGGCTAGAAAGGCAGTGGCGATTGCAATAGCGAAGTTGAAGAGGAAGGAAGACCAATGGCACAATAATGAAGGTAAAGATGAAGGAGGTTGGTGATGATGGTACCAACGGCTCCTGTTTATGGTGGTGGTGTTAGTGTGTGTTGAGGGGATTTAGAGTTTTATCCTAAAAGGTAATTTCATTAAAGGGCACAATGATAATAAAAAAATATAAGATAGTAGTGCGAACTGAGAGTAAAAATAGTGTGTAAATAGAATTTCCCTATTTTAATTTCATTTCATCCATTTGAATTATCTCTTGAAGGCTCCATTTTGCTAAGAAAGTGTTATCTGTGTTTTTAATTGACAAGGTAAAGTGACAATCAACTATGATTAAAAGAGTAAATTGTATGTGTAAGGCCCCGGTTCCCATATCGGGAATGGAGGGGGAGTTCCTGGGCTATAAAAGTAAAAACCTGGACCCTTATATAGCATCGAGGCCTTTTCCCGGGTGATGAGATCCCTATTAGAACTCCCCAGTTAAGCGTGCTTAGGCTGGAGTAATTCTGGGATGGGTGACCCATTGAGAAGAACAAATCCGTGCGGGCGTGGCCCAAAGCGAACAATATCGATGATATGTGAAGTGTTGGGGCGTTACAAATGGTATCAGAGCCGACTCTCCAGAGTACTGAGTGTGGGCCCCTGACGTCTCTCGGTGTATGTGGGCGGGCTTGTGAGCTGGCAGGCTACTACACGGGGACGTGCAACCTTATGGGAGGTGGATTGTAAGGCCCCGGTTCCCATATCAGGAATGGAGGGGGAGTTCCTGGGCTATAAAAGTAAAAACCTGGACCCTTATATAGCATCGAGGCCTTTTCCCGGGTGGTGAGATCCTTATTAGAACTCCCCAATTAAGCGTGCTTAGGCTGGAGTAATTCTGGGATGGGTGACCCACTGGGAAGAACAAATCCGTGCGGGCGTGGCCCAAAGCGGACAATATCGATGATATGTGAAGGGTTGGGGCGTTACAGCATGACATTTTAATTATAATTATTTATACTTTATGTGATCATATCACACACTAATCAATTGTATTCTTGTACATTATCTTCTCAACACCGAGGTGAGTCACAAGGCTCTAATATATACATCATACACATTTTAATTTAGGACACCACTTGGCATGAAAAATATTTTTTTTTAATTGAAAATACAGTTTTATGTCTAACCTACTCATCAGACTATTATCTTAAACTCCAAACCTCTCATATGAGGAGTATTGGCATTATGCAAAAAAAATCCTTCTTAATGAACGAGGAAATAGGATTGAAAAGGGAGAAATGTTAACGATCATGAAAAAAATTTCATGAAAATGATCATGAAAGATTTATGATTCTTAGATTATTTTGATTAGTGTGTGGTGATTTATTCTAAATGTAATCTAAATGTCACAAATCTTTCATAATCATTTTCATGAAAGACTTTTTATGATACCTAGCATTACTGTTGAAAAGAACCCCTTAACCATACCTAACAAAATAAGGAAAAATTACGCTGATCGTTCATTGGTTTTTTTAAAAAAAATAAAAATTTACTATTCAGAGGGTATTTTAAATAGTTATTACAAAATAATGAAAAAATTTATGATTTTAATTATTAATATTTATGATATTTATCTTCTTTTTTTTAAAGCCTCTTACATATAATTGTCCCCCAAAAAATATAATTAATATTATAAATTTGCTATAATTTCACTGATTCTTTCTTAATAAAGTTAAAGCATCGTAATTAATGCAAATACTATGTAGACACATGAATTACTAAAATATATAGTATAAAAAAATATGAAATCACATTTTAATTCATACAATTAACAAATTATTGATAAAAATAAGTTAAGGGTTGCGTGAATTAAAATTTTTAAAAAATGCATATATACCAAATTTGTGAGGTGCAAATGCAAGTTTTACGAGGGTTAAGTT